GCCCCCCTCAGGCCAGCGCTGTCCAGGAGGCTGAGGACGGCCTCTTCAGGACGCAGGAACCTCGCGCCTTCCACACGGGAGGCCTGTGACCCCCGGGGCAGGTGGCCCGCCCAGCGGGGTAGGGCGGGGTGCTGTGGCTCAGTGGGGGTCAGGGCCAGTCAAGCCAGCTCTGATGCCCCTGTGGTGGCCGAGGGAGGTGGGGTGTGTCTGCCCAGGGCCTGCCCCTCCTGGCGGGGAGGCTGCTGGTTTCGGAAGCCAGGAGAGCGCCCACTTTAGTGTTTGTGGGCCCCGGCCCTGTGGCTCACCTGGCTTCCTGTCTTCTCAGCTGGTTCATGGGACGGAGGCCTGAGTACACGGACCCCAAGGTGGTGGCTCAGGGTGAAGGCCGGGAAGGTAAAGCTTGATTCCCCCAATCCCACCCCTGACCCCGCAGACAGGTTGGAGCCCAGGAGGGACTAGGTGAACCCCTGGGAACAGCATGGAGATGTGGGGGGCTGTGGGGCGGGGCCCGGGCTCTCAGTGTATCCCAGACAGGCCTGGTCGGAGCACAAGACTGCCACTCTGTCCGGCTGCAAACAGCCCTCCACTTCCCAGTGGTGGGTCCGCCAGCGAGCACCCCGCTTCTCCGAGGGGGCGAGGCGCACTGCGGCTGGGCCAGGCGGCAGCACTGAGACAGGCCCAGAGCAGCCTGGCTCTGCCCCGTGGCTGACGCCCCCTCTGTCCCCAGTGACCCGCGTCCGCTCCCAGGGCTTTGTCACTCTCCTCTTCAACGTGGTGACCAAGGACATGAGGAAGCTGGGCTACGACACTGGGCCTGTGGACATGCAGGGGCTCTCGGGGCCCAGCCTGCCCCAGGGCCTGCCCCAGTGAGCCTGGCCAAGCAGCGTGCAGCCTGAGCGGCTCCCACAATGCCAGGTGGCCACTGCCGATCCACCTGCCTGCTCCAGTGTAGATGGGGAGTCGGGGGGATATTTTCATAAAATAAATGGTTGCTTTGTCACAGAACCCAGGCCTGGGCTGCCTCCTCGCCCCTGCAGCACCGCACCCGCTGGGCCTGAGCTGGGCGGGACCTGCCTGTCACACTGCTGTCCCCAGGAAGCACTGGTCACCCTGTCATGCTCCCATCACCAGCCTCCCTTGGCGACAGGGAGATATCCTGTGAGGAGGAGGTGGGTGAGGCCCCGCAGCCCTGGCCAGCCTCACAGCAAGAGGAGGTGCACGCGGCACCCAACACCCTGGGCTGAGCTGAGCTCTGCCCGGCACCGTCTCACCTGAGCCCCCCAGCTTCAAGTGGGATGGGATGGGATGGGGCGTGCCCAGTCTGCTCCCCAGCCCGCACCCCAGGATTTAAGGGGAGCCACAGTGCCTGCTCCAGGCTCCTCAGCCCTGAAGACCACGACCCCCGCGCTGTACGGCCTCGCTGCATCGGAACTTGTTCTACGACCACGGAACGGCCTGTCCTGCCCCTACCTCTGCTGTCAGCACCAGAGGGTAACTCCGCCTCCCGCCCCCGTCGGCAGCGGCTCCCACCGTCCTTGCTGATGGACAGTGGCTCCATGGGGCACCAGGGGCTGAGAAATGGGGCTTGTGCCCTCCCTCGCTCGCTGTGAGCACTTCCTACTCCCCGTCTCAGCTCCCCGACCCCGGGCCATCGGACCTCACCTCTGATGTCCACCAAAGAGGGCACGGCCTTGTCTTCCTCCAGCTGTCATGACAACGCCACTGACCAGCTTGTCTTCCTCAGCCCACCCCCCCTGCAGTGAACTTGACCTGTGTCCTCAGTAGCCGCCCATGGTCAGAGCCCGTTTCTCGTGACTAATGACGGCATCCTCTCTAAAATGTGTATCGAAGCGCCCCCGCCACCCCCCCGCCAGGGCAGTTCCTTTCCTGTGGGCCCCCCTCCAGCCCCCCTCCATCCAGGTCCTCGGGCCACCACCCCGCCGTGGGCCACTAAGTCGGCCCTCTCCTTCCTCCTGCTGTCCCAGCTTAGAATTCAGTCATTGGGCGCAGCTGATGACACACACTCTCTCTTTCAAATGAGGCTGCAGGTTTATGTAAAGATGACAAGAGATCTGCCCTAGCCAGTGTGCTTCCGTGGGTACCGTGCGGGCCTGTGGACTGAATGGTCCCTCTTAGGTTTCCCAGGCGGGGCGGGGGGACCCCGGAGTGCGGTGGTTTAGGGAAGCACAGATGACCTCGTACCAGGAGCGCGCCTGCAGGCCATCTCAGTACGCGTCCATTCTAAGTGGCAACAGCAGGAAAGCACCAGGCGTGGCGAGACCCTGAAGCAGGGCCGTCCTCAGCTCTACGGGAGCTCCCAGACGGGCTGCCCGCCCGCAGGCCTCGCCCACGGGGCAGCGGGCTCTGCCCTCCCAGGCCCGTGTCAGTCTTGGAGACGAGTGTGTCTCTAAGAAGCGATTTTCAACCTTTTCACCCCATGGCATAGAAACTAATTACTAAAATTCTGTGGCCACCAAAAAATATAGTTTCTGCTGATCTGACAAAAAAACCAGGTATAGTTTTTATCGGTTCACATCGGGCGGCTATGTTGTGTTGTCTGTTGTCTGTTTGGCACCTGAGGGAGGAGAGGCAGCGAGTGCCCTGCCAGGCAGGTGCTGCATTTTAGAAGGTCCTGCAGCGCCCGGGGGAGCCCGCCGCCCCCACAGGCCGGGTCCCTCTTAGCAGGACCTTCTTCAGAGTTGGGTTTGACCTCCGCCTTGCTCCCCGCGGATAGATGCAGTCCATCCGGCCGGCGCCCCACCCTGCCCCCGGCTCTGTTCTCGCCCGGCCAACCTTGTCCTGGGCAGAGCGTCCAGACGAGGGCTGCCCGCACCATGTCCAGAGCCAGGCCTCCCTCACATCGCTGCCAAGCGGTCCCCTATTTCCTTAGCCCCTCGCATCTGCGGAAGCTCACTCACACCTCTTCTCCTCTCAAACCCTCAGTCTCCCTTGCCCTCGCCTGTGAGGAAATGGGACGCTCGTTCCCCGCCTCCCCCGCTCTGGCACCTACCAGCCTTCCCGCCAGAGATGCCCGGGGTGTGCGAGGCCCTGCCCCTGCCTCCTCGCGGGCCGCTCAGCAGCCTCCCCACGCGCCCCTCCTGCTGCCCCCCCAACGCGTGTCCTACGATGGAAGCCACGCGAAGAACGTGCGCTGGGCCTCCGCTGCTCTCCACGCCTCCGCCCTCGCTGTCCATTCCGCACCCGCCCCGCCAGTTGGCCCTTCCCGTCACTCCCAGAACCTGTCCAGCGCAGCCTCAGGTCGCCAGAGCCCGGTCCGTCAGCACCGTTAACACAGCAGTTAACCCTCTTAGGTTTAATTTTCTATTTTTCAACATTTTATTATTAATGTTTAAACACGGAGAAGTTTAAATACTTCGCAACCACCCCGTCTGTCTCCCATCACCACTTCCCGGTGTGTTCCCCCTGCCCCTCACCTCTGTGGAGCCGTCCTGTTCCCGGTGCATTTCAAAGGAAGGTGCAGGCATGGGCACGCCCCTGCACACGCCAGCCTGTCTGTCACCAACTGGAGCCTGTTTGTCCTCCAGTGTTTCTCCTTTTGAGGGAACATTTCCACGCGCGAAATGCATACAGCTTGGGTGTGCTGCCTGCGGACTCGTGGCAACACCGGCCCGCGCCCAGCAGGCGCAGGAACGCTGCCTTCACCTGAGCCCCGCCGCCTCTGCCATGAGAGCAGAATGTTGGTTGGGGACTCGGTGGTTGTGCCTGGGGAGTGGGGAGTGGCAGGGATCTGTGACCAGCGACACCAGAGGAGGGAACGCCAGGCCCATAGGCTGTCTAAGGCCCAAGAAATCATTTGGTCTGGCCCTGCCCTTCCTTTCTCACGGCCCCGAGGCCAGCTGGTAAAGATGACACATGGCGAGGGAGCTGCCAGAACATGCCCACTGGGCATTTTGTGAGGGAGAAACATGGCAGTCAGCCAGCAAGAACCTGGGACTTACTGGTTCCTGTGGCACCTATTGTATTCTGATATGGAAATTGGTATCTGAGTGAGTTTCTGCTGTAACCAAAACAAAACCAGCCAATGTGCATGGCCGGGCGGGCAGGAAGAACGTGGACGGAACCCTGGACAGCAGGACAGGCTGGAGGAGACCACCGTGCTCGCCTGGGCAGGCTCTGCCTGCTGAGCTGTCAGCCCGGGCAGGGCAGCTGCAGGAGGCAGGTGCGGGGGCCCCTGGAAAGCTACCACAGCAAAGGGATGTGCTCAGCAAAATGGCCAGTTTGCAAGCAGAAGTGACAAGAAATTAAGAGAATCCAAAACTGTTATCAAAAGACTGGAAAAGGAAACTTCTAGAACTCGCACAGGAAGGGCTAAGACTGAAGCATGCTCTGACTATAAAGGCCTAGTGAGGCTTCTGACCGGTAGGCCACTCGGCCCTGGGCAGGTCCCAGGCTGGGCAGGGCGCGGGCGCCTGGCTCCAATGGCCGCGCACTGACACGTGGGGGAGCAGCAGGAAGAAAGCAGGCTGTCCAGGGAAGACTGTTGTGAGTGCTCGTTACCTGCTGCTGTTAACAAACTACCCCAAACTCTGCTGCTTACCCAGCATTCATTCTCTCTCCTGGCCCTACAGGTGACTGACGGGGCCCAAAGACAGCTCCCGTGGGAGGGGATGCGATCGGTGTGTGGGGAACAGTGAAGTAAGTACTTGGTGACACTAGAGGGCCATGTGACGCTAACCAAACCCACTTCGGATCCCCCTGGGCACAAGGATCCTGCATTTCCTCCTTCCTGGCACCGAAGGGAGACCAGTTCTGGTGTGGGGACAAGGAAGCCATGCCCCCCCCCCCCCCCCCCCCC